GATCATGTGATGTTTGTCTTTCTGTGCCTGGCTTATTTCACTTAGCATAATGCTCTCCAGGCCCATCCATACTGTCCCAAAGGGTATGAGATCCTTCTTTATAGCTGCATAGTATTCCATGATGTATATGTCCCACAGCTTTTTTTATCTACTCATCTACTGATGGGCACTTGAGCTGTTTCCAGATCTTAGCTATTGTAAACTGCGCTGCTATGGACATAGGGGTGCATATATTCTTGCTGATTAATGTTTCAGGATTCCTAGGATATGTCCTAGAAGTGGGATCACTGGGTCAAAAGGCAGCTCCGTTTTTAATTTTTTGAGGAACCTCCATACTGTTTTCCATAGTGTTTGCACCNCTGCACTGCTATGGACATAGGGGTGCATATATTCTTGCTGATTAATGTTTCAGGATTCCTAGGATATGTCCTAGAAGTGGGATCACTGGGTCAAAAGGCAGCTCCGTTTTTAATTTTTTGAGGAACCTCCATACTGTTTTCCATAGTGTTTGCACCAGTCTGCATTCCACCAGCAGTGTACCAGGGTTTCCCTTTCTCCACACCCTCGCCAGCACGAGTTGTTCGTTGATTTGTTGATGGTAGCCATTCCTTTTTTTTTAAAATTTATCTTTGTTGAAAGTATTACAGGTGTCCCATTTTCCCCCCCAATTGACCCCTTCCACCTCACTCCCACCTCCTCCCCAGGCCTTCATCCCATTATTGACTGTGTCCATGGGTTATGCATATATGCATATAACAACTTTGGTTAATCTCTTCCCACCCTCCATCCCCCTTCCCTCTTTCCTCTGAAATATGATCGTCTTTTACATGTGTCAGTGTCTCTGGATATATTTAGTTTGTCAGATTGTTTTGTTCATTTAGCTTCTTAAAGGAGACCCTTTACTGGTGGTGATGAAGTCCTTTAGCTTTTTCTTATCTGTGAAGCTCTTTATCTGACCTTCAGTTCTAAATGATAGCTTTGCTGGGTAGAGTAATATTGGTTGTAGTTCCATGTTTTTCATCACTTTGAATATTTCTTGCCACTCCCTTCTGGCCTGCAAAGTTGAGAAATCAGCTGACAGTCGAATAGGTGCTCCCTTGTAGGTAACTAACTGCTTTTCTCTTGCTGCTTTTAAGATTCTCTCTTTGTCTTTAACCTTTGGCATTTTAATTATGATGTGTCTTGCTGTGGGCCTCTTTGGGTTCCTCTTGTTTGGGACCCTCTGTGCTTCCTGGACTTGTAAGTCTGTTTCTTTCCCCAGGTAGGGGAAATTTTCTGTAATTATTTTAGCCATTCTTACAGGAGTGAAGTGATACCTCGTGGTTTTAATGTGCATCTCTGATGGTTAGCGATGTTGAGCATTTTCTCATGTGTCTCTTGGCCATCTGTATGTCCTCTTTGGAAAAGTGTCTATTCAGGTCCTTTGCCCATTTCTTAATTGGGTTTGTCTTCCTCTTGCTGAGTAGTATGAGTTCTTTGTACACTTTGGAAATTAGCTCCTTATTAGATACATCCTTGGCAAATATGTTTCCCCAGACCATGGGGTTCCTTTGTATTTTGAGGCTGTTTTCTTTTGCTGTGCGGAAGCTTTTTAGTTTGATGTAGTCCCATGTGTTTATTTTTTCTTTTGTTTCTCTTCCCCTAGGAGATGTATTAGTGAAAATTCCACAACGTGAGATGTCTGTGACTTTACTGACTGTGTTTTCTTCCAGGATTTTTATGATTTCGTGACTTACATTTAAGTCTTTTATCCATTTTGAGTTTATTTTTGTGTATGGTGAAAGTTGGTGGTTTAGTTTCATTTTTTTGCATGTATCTGTCCCTGTCTCTTATACACATCTAGATGTGTATAAGAGACAGGTTAGTNTGTGACTTTACTGACTGTGTTTTCTTCCAGGATTTTTATGATTTCGTGACTTACATTTAAGTCTTTTATCCATTTTGAGTTTATTTTTGTGTATGGTGAAAGTTGGTGGTTTAGTTTCATTTTTTTGCATGTATCTGTCCAGTTTTCCCAGCATCACTTATTGAAGAGACTGTCTTTACTCCATTGTATGCTCTTGCCTCCTTTGTCAAATATTAACTGACCATAATAGCGTTCAAATAACCAGGGTTTTTAGAAATTGTATCTTTTTCTATGTCTAGTTTGTTCATTTCCTTATCTGTTTTTAAAAATCCTACATTTAAAAAATTCTCTATTTAATATGTTGATGATCCATTACACAGGGCACATTATCTTTCATCGTAAGTCATACTGAAATTTGGGGCTTGATGCTGCTGCTACTTATAAATGGAAAAATATCTTTTCTGATCTCTCCAGACTTTTCTGCTTTTTGGTTTGGGGTCTTTCTCCACCAACAAATATCTGACTTTTTTATTAAACATTAAGTAACTCAGCTACTTCAAACCTAGTTTGCTTCCACCTTAGAGCCTTTACAGCATCTACAACTGGAATCCCCAGCCAGGTAAGGACTGTAAATTAATTCATCTCATTCATTGTGGATGAAACATCTGGCCATAGACGTCACTGATGTCAGTGGACATTTGAAGTGCCAGCTAGAAATGTGAAGATGGCAGTTGAGCAGCGTTTAGGTGGATTGATGGGGTGTGACGCATCTAAGACCTCGAGGTTAAATGCCAGTAGATAGCACCATCCCTCCTGGCTGTTTCCCTTGGCTCATTCATTCAATAAGTACTAATGAGCCAGGCTCTCTAGGCCCTAGTGTTAGGAACACAGCAGTGAAAAGAATGGACAAATTATATTTTTTCATGAAGCTTACATTCTAGTGAGGAAAGATTATGAACATGTGTGTGAATAAACGTGTCAGGCAGAATTTTTTTCAAAGGCTAGATAATAGGTTTGAAATGATGGAGTGTGCCATTTTATAAGGAGTGGACAAGGAAGGCCTTGTTGAGTGGTCACATTTGAGCAGAGACCTGAAGTAAATGAGCCATGCTGCTGTCTGAAGGAAGGTAAATGTCTGGGTGCAAGGACCCAGAGGAGGATAGGTCCAGTGTTTACAAGGAACAGCAAGGCTGGAACAGAGTGAGCTGGAGGAAGTGGGGTTAGTGCTGTGGGCAGAGGGAGGATGGGGGCCCCGTCACAGAGGGCATCATAGGCCCCAATGTGGGCTTGGCTTTTGCCCTGAGATGAGAGCAGATGGAGGGTTGTGAGCCTAGGAGGCACGTAATTCGATTTACACATTTTAAAAGGATCGCCCTGTGCCTTGTGGGATAAATTATAGGGGGGTAAGGGCAGAGCAGGGAGACCAATCAAAAGGCTATTACTGTAGTCCATGGGAGAGATGACGGTGACATTTGGTGGCAGGGTGATAGCAATATGAAAGTGAGAAGTGGTTGGACCCTGGATATATTTTAATGTTTGAACAATAGGATTTGCTGATGAATTGCTGAGAGAAAGGGTAAGGATAATGGCTGTTTTGGCCTGAACAACCAGAAGGATGTTGTCATTATATGAGACTGGGAAGACTTGAGAGGAGCAAATCAAGGGTGAAAAGTGATTTCGTTCTTGTACATCACTGTAGGGCGACTATTGGATATCTAAGTGGAGATGTTGGGGAGGGGCAGTTAACCCTACACATTTGGAATTCAGGGAAGAGGTTGAAGCCAGAGCGATAAATGTGGGTGTTAGCAAGTTAGATGTGGAGCGAGGGGAGAACATGCACATTCCATGCACTTTCAATTCAATTTGCCGAGCCTTTTTTTCCCTCTCATGTCACTTGTCAGCAAAGGGCATGAGGGGTAGTGGTGGGTTAGATCAGCAGGTTGACAAGTGAGATCAAAGCTAGGGACCAGAGGGAATTTCCAATCTTAACAAACAGCCCAGGTGAGTCTCATGCAGGTGACCCTGGGACTGTTCTTTGAGAAGCACTGTGTAAGGCACGCATCATTTCTTCTTGGATCTTTGACAAGGCACACCTGAGTTCTTGATTCTCTGGTGTTTCTCAGCAAACCTTAGATGAGGAGATGAATGGGTCCTCCTATCCCTCCTTAACCTGTACTTCTAAGCTTTACGTAACATGTGAATGGAAGGAGGGAGACGCTTATTATGACAGAGGAGCAACTAATAAATCAAATTGCCATTTATAAGGGCCGCACTTGTAACCATGAAACCACTATCACCATGCTTGATGCTTCGTTAATATTTAATAGTAATCCGTTACTTACCTCGTGAGCTATCTTTATGGTTTATGAGAACAGCACTTTCATTAAAATCAGGGTATTTCCTTTCTGATAGTCTCAGCTAGTTCTGCCAGTGAGTCAACTTTCCTTGTGGAGAGTCCACTTTCCCATAATAATGCTCTTATATTTTGTGTACGATTAGATATGTTCACAAATTATTAAATGTATTAAAAGCTTATGAATTGGTGTTTATGAATCACCAAGGATTTTATATACTGCATCCTCCTAAATAAGCCCTTCAGATGATCTTTGCTTTTGAAGTTGGCACTACAAGATCTATGGGAAATAGAATCAAATGAGATAATATTTGGTAAAGAAAAAAATGGAAGCCTGGCCAGGTGTGGCTCAGTGGTTGAGTGTCAGCCTAGGATCCAGGAGATCGCGGTTCTATTCCCAGTCAGGGCACATGCCTGGGTTGTGGGCTTGATCTCCAGTCAGGGGCGTGCAGGAGGCAGCCGACTAATGACAACTCTGTCATCATTGATGTTTCTATCTCTTCTCTCTCCCTCTCCCTTCCTCTCTGAAATCAATAAAGATAATATTAAAAAAAGAAAAAAATGGAAGACAAAAGCACTCTGCAAATATGGTTTATTCTAACAATAACTTTTACTGGGGACAGTACCACCATGTGACCATGGTCACCTGTCGGTCCATGTTATTGGTGTAAATTTTCTATACACAGATACATAACGTTCACAAATGATATAGTTCCCACAGCTTCACACACACTCTCCTTGAATCACAGTATCAAACCACAAGAACAAATGGTTTAATCAACTTTTCTCCCTACTTTTTAGGATGGCTGCTGTTTTTCTAAAGACATTAACATTACAAACCATAAAGACTGAAAAGAATTGCCTTAGATGTTTGTGTAAATACATTGTGCAAAAGACGGCACTAGCACAGTTGCCCCTTACTGTTTCTGCCCCAAGACTGTCCTACCTAATTCACACAAAAGCTTTTAGTAGTGTTGAAGACACCAAGGATGAAAGAAAAAAGAATGAAACTGATTTTAGTAACATTGGAAGAAAAATTAGTGAGCGAATTATTCATGTATTTGATGAGAAAGGCAATGATTTGGGAAACATGCACCGAGCAGATGTGATTCGACTCATGGACGAGCGAGACCTGCGACTTGTGAGAAGGAAGCCCAGTGCAGAGCCTCCCGAGTACCAGCTTATGACAGGCGCACAGATTCACGAAGAGCGGCTGAGACTGAGGGAAAGGGAAAAGGCTAAACCTAAAACTGGTAGGTAGCTTGCTGTTAGCCCCTTGCATTCCTTCAGACCACAAATCAACAGTTTAAATTGGGTGTTTGCTATAGTGCCTGGGACAATGAGGTGAAAAACTGGAAAATTCAGTTTCATTACTGTTTCCAATGCCTTTATCCATCATTTATTTCTATTCCTTTTTTTCCCCTTTGCATCCTGTGTCCATCATCTCTTTCTTTAAACCTATGTAAAATGAGGTAAAACAAGGTGAACACCTATCAAAATAATAGGAACTCTTTCCCCTTTGCCCTTAGCTTTGTCTCCTAATGCCCAGGCAGGCAGAGCAACTAAGAACTGATGAGTGTAATGAAGTGAGACTCAGAAGAGATGGATTCAACTTCCTATTCCTGTCCTGAGTCACTCATTTACCCTCCTTTAAAAAAACAACTCAGAGTGGAGGTGTTTGGCTAATTCCATGGAAGCACTTTTTAAACTGAAGAGATTCATAGAGCATCTCCTATGCCTGAGTATTTTGTTACAATACTGGTAGTAACACTTGTTTACATATTTTGCCAATCACCTTACAAGGCATTTGTCATTTAAACCTTGTGAAAGCCATTAATTGGATAAGTAAAGATGTTGGTTTTTCATGATTTTTAATTAATGCTGATCATTATGAAAGACTGTTCAATGGAAAACGCACTGGGGTGGGGGTCAGAAGACTAGTCCCAGAGCTGCCAGAGTGAGGTTGCCTGTCTTGAGAAAATCACACATTGTCCGTCGCTCAGTTTGTAACACTGCACACTTAACTAGGATGCTGACTGGAAAACAGAAAATTTTCAGAAGAGGCCAACTAGGGGGGTATGAACATCAAACTATGTCACTGAAGAAAAAAGCTGACAGGCTGGAGAAGACACCTTGCTGTGTCGAGAGATTATCAAAGGCAGGACTTTGTTCTGATAGGAAACTAAGACCAAAACTGGTCGGAACTTTAAGGAAGCAAGGTGTTAATAAAAGAACTCTTTTTTAAAAATATTACTCTTATTTTGGAAATTAGAAGCAGAAAAACATAATAAACAAGTCTTACCATACAAAATGAACAAGGATTAACACTGTCATACTTCAGATTCCTTAAACAAAACATTACAGAAAGTTGAGGTCCTGCGCTCCCTTCTCTTGTTCCATCCTTCCCAAAAGGCCCCTGCTCACTCTCATGGACTCGGTGTAGATCCAGCCCATGTTGTTAAACTCGTTACAGATACAGTCATAAACAGTATGTAGAATAATTTTGTGTGCATAAAATCATATTTATAACATGGCACACTATTGTTTTCAAGATGTTTATATAATAGCTGTAGCTAATTACAATTCCCAAGTACCATTTCATCGTAAACATGCACCATCGCTTTGCTGGTCCGTCTCCCTGCTATTGCGCCTGTTCCCGTTTCCATTATGATGAAGTGAGCATGTGGATGTGTCGGCGTCTCCTTGTGCGGTTGCAGCGCGTGGGCGTTTCTCTCCGTCTTCACCCACGCTTGGTACTGCCAGGCTCTAGTTTTTGCCATGCCAGTGGGTGAGAAACCATACTGTTTTAATTTGTAGTTCCTTTCACCATTTGAGTTTCCTCTTCTGCAAATTGCCTATTCATATTTTTTCTTCAGTGGTTTATTTTTCTTCTTGATTTATAGGATTCTCTTCTGTATGAAGCAAAACACTTATCCTAGATTTCTCTTTTGTTTTTCCCTTGTCTTGAGATCATGAACATATCCTTTCTTTTCTTCTATTTGTATTAAAGTTGTATTTTTCACATTTAGATAACTCATCTGGGGAGATTTTTGTATGGGTCAAAATCTCACTTTTCCCCTATATGAAAACTCTGTTATCCCAGTGCCTGTAATGAGCAGTCTGTTCCTTTCCTGTAAAATAATTTCCTAATAGTTGGGATTTCCAGAGTAGAGTGAATGAGTGCAGGACGCAGGCTGGATGACCCCACTGTAGCTAGGAGGGCATCACAGAAGAGTAAGATGAGAAGAGTACTTCCCAGACACATCCACACTCAAAAGAAAAACAATAAGTTTATCATAAAGCTAAACTTTTGAAGGACTATTCTTTTGGTTTCCTTTCATCAAATGATGGTAACAATAAATGGAGGCATTTTATATTTAAATGCCCTTTCTGGACAGGCAAAAAAAAAATAATAATACCTGTCTCCCATTTAAAAAATGTTTACTGGTCTGTGAAACTGGTCAGGTGAGAGGACTGTTAGGGCCCCTGTGGCAACCTAAGATTTTCTGAAGTATATGTGGTGAGGTTAGTCTAGTAAATACGGTAGTAAATAGTCCTAGCACCAAGTCTCACTGTTTCAAACTAGGACCCACTCTGACAAAGGAACTAACTTTTTCATCAAATATCGGACAACATGACTTGGACACAAAGAGTAAACAGATTCAGCAGTGGATTGAGAAAAAATACAAAGTTCAAATTACTGTAAAGAAAGCAAAGAATGCAGAAGAGACAGAAAATAACATGGTAAGTAAAAACAATTAACTTTTTGTTTGCTGATCTAAAAGTACAATTGTAGAAAATCTGGAAAATGTAAAGGCAAAGAAAAGTAACAGTAATTTAGTAGTGATGATTCTAGCTTCCCAATTTGTTTTCAGAATGCAAGCATACTGTATATACGTTACTTTTTCCATTGTGGCATAAATATTTTGCCATGTGAAAACATTCTGTTTCATAATTTAAAGGCTATACTACCCTATTTTACAAATTGTAGAATATCTAACATTTAAGTAGGAAAACTAGAAACTTTATAGATTCCTTTTTTAAAGTTTGTTTCCTCTTTATAAATGCCTATAAACATCATATTTAAAGTCAAATTGTTTTCAAGAAAGTGTGTATCAGTTTACAATCCCAGGATAAGTTTACAGCATATCTATTTCGCTTTTAGAGTTAGATCGCTTATCCACTAAAAGGCAGCATCAGCCCAAGTTCCACGTTAGAATCACTTAAGCCTCGGTCCCCAGCCAGCTGACCCAGAATCTCTAGAACCAGTGTATTTTTCTAATTCCCCAAGTGGCTGTGTGAGTTGAGTGTTGGGAACTGCACTAGGCTAACAGTCTGAGGGATAAGTTGATACTCTGCCTATACCCAAACCCACTGCTTTATACTTGTTTTTGCAAGAAGATAGCCCAGGGCCAAACATAGCCCCTCAATGCAGTGACAGAGTAGGGCTTTCTCTAGTGCTTTAGTTTAGTTACAAGGAGTTTGTATAACTGCCTGGTTTCCATCAGCTAACTGGACATAATTTAGCTAGTCACTTAAATAGCAGAAATTCAAGAACTGGGTATTAGAGAAAGAATCAAACACTGGTTTTAAATTAATCTTTGGCTGTTTTCCTTCTCAGGAGGAGCTCTTTAATCAAATCCTCCAGACTATGCCTGGAATAGCAACCTTCTCATCCAGGCCACAACCTGTTAGAGGAGGAAAAGCTGTAGTATGTGTTCTTCGTCATCTGAGCAAAAAGGAAGAAATTGCATATAGACAAACTCAAGAGACCCAGAAAGGAGACCCTTTGAACAAAGAAAATGGAAGCGACAGAAAATCGGATATTCTTCATCAGTAATTAAAGAAAAACGTGCTTCTAAGAGAAAATACAGGCATACCTCATTTTTATTGTGCTTCACTTTACTGCGCTTTACAGATGTTGCATTTTTTTTTACAAATCAAAGGCAAGACCCTCCACCAGCAAAAGCATTTCAACTTGCTTTATTGCACTACGTTTTATTGCAGTGGTTGGGAACCACCAATAAGGTCCACCTGTAACTGAGCTGGCTGGGCTGTGGACAGCAATGGGCTGTTTAGCTGAGGGTAAGTACTGCAACAGTCGAGAGCACCTTGTCTTCAGCGCAATTCAGCAACTCTCCAGTTTTCAGCAAAGATAAGCCTTGCCCTTGTTTCCCTTTAGGAGGGATGTATCCGCTGAGATGGGAGGACAAACTCCGTTTTCCACGAGCTTGTTTTACCTTTGGAAATAAGGAAAACAATTAGAATTCAAGGTCAAAATTATCTTAACTAATTTTACAACAGCTGTACACTCTGATAGGTACACCACACTCCTTTATGAGACAGTAAATTCTTCCAGTTGCTTTCCATAGCAGTGCAGACTCACACAGTAATAAGTAGTTGAAAATATTCTAAATAGATTGCATCTGGCTTCAATCAGCAATTTGTTTAAAACAGCTTGCCTAGGTTGTCTCAACTTACTTTGAGCTTCATTTTCTTTTTGTCAGGGTCATGTGCAACGGCATGCCTAGTGAGACTTTGCTGCAATGAAAGAAAAAAAAAGTTCTACTTTTAAAACATTGCCATTTGGTGCCTATTAACATGAAAACTCCTTAAATTATTTAAATAAACAGCCTTCTTTCTGTTATGTTTTGTTGAGGGGTGTGATCTCTACCTACAGGGACTCCCACCAGAGGAGATTCTTCCTAAAATCCTGGACTGAAATCACTGCCTCTGCCAAAGACCCAGGTTAGGAATTTATACAGTCTCGATCTCCTGTGGCTTCTTAGCTCTTTCATTAGTAAGAGAGGTCAGGAAAACTAGTTCTGAATAAACTGCTACACACTGAAGGAAGTTCTTTTAACTAAAGCTATGTCAACACCATCCCCAAACCAATGGAATATCTGACCAAAGTCTTGCTCTCGTTGATGATAATGCCGACCACCAGCATCTCCAAGTTGTTTTCTAATGGTTCAGACCTATGCTCAGCCAGCCTCATTTCTCTCTTCAGTCTTCACCATAATTCAAGGTTTAAGTGCTTGTAAGAGCACTAACCAGACTGAGAGTGTGCAAAACTGCACAGGCCCCTCCATTTAGTGTCATGTTCCCAACTACTTGAATCACACCAAGATGCAGACTAGAGATCCCCAAGTTCTGTAGTTCCTCACATAGTGCCTACTTCCCTTCTCAATCTTTACATGACCATGGTCTAAAAGGGAAGCTCCTAGGTGATGGCAGTCTAAAAGGATACCCAAAGTATCAGTATACTCTTGAATAAGCATTTGGTACCATAAGCCACTGTTCTCAAATACAGCCCACATGAGAATCACTGGGAGGATTAAAAAACATTAGTGGGCCCCTGACCCCTGAGCTTCTGATTCAGTGGGTCTAGCGTAGGGCTCGTGGATAGGCATTTCTAGCAAGTTTCCAGGTGATGTTGGTGCTCCTAGGCCAGGGCCACACTGAGAACCACCTGGCTTAGGCAGATCTGGCTGTATGGCAGACTTTAGTTCAGAGCCACTGGTTGAAGCAAGAGTGGAAGGTGTTAGAGCCCTGCTCACCCAGCCTTCCCACCTGCAGGCCCTGGGACACCATCCTGGAACCCAAGGCTCTTAGGAACCCGGCTGGAAAGCCTCACACTGAAAGGACTGCACCTGTGAGGGTGAGTACTTACTTTCATTGCAAAAGTTTTGCCACAGCCAGCATGTTCACACACAAAAGGACGCCTTTCCTCATGAAAAGAGAGAATATGGCTTTGGAGATTGAACACAGTTGTGTAGGTTCTACCACAGCCTTCTCTTGGGCATCGACACACATCCCTTTCTGGGTTATGTGTTTTCATATGTTGCTTCAGATAATCTTTGCGTTTAAATGTTCTCTGGCATACTTCACATATCACTTCCTCTGGTGAAGTAGACAAAAATGTTAACCAGTTTCCCCAGATATTACCACATAGAAAACATTACTATTCAATATGTAAGTAACATATTCAGTACCGAAAACCTTATGATTATACATAAACCAGAAATTTCAGAGGAAACTAACTCCAGTTTTTGTTGCTTGAACATTTGTCTCAATTCTCCCAAGTTCTTATATTACATAGTCTCCCTTGCCAAGAAGCAGGGGTTCTCAGCACAGTGGCTGTGGGCAAAGGGAGATTAAATAGACCAGTTTCCTTCTTTGTTCCTCCGGTACACAGGGCCCTCTTCCCCTAACTGCCCCACAGAACACCAGTGCCTCCCCAGATTCTTTACTTGCCATGGCCTTTAAAATGCTAAGTATGCACAGTAGCTCGAAGAGACCTGACATAGCTCTTCCTGAACCTGGGACCACAGGTCTCTTTTGTCTGTCAAACAGCTGAAGTGCACAGCATCTCACAGAACATCTATTATTTTAACGTGCATATTTAACATTTTTCTCTTTAAAAGAACTAAATCACTTCTACAGGGGCAAATGGTTATACCAAGCCATTCATGTCTGCCTTACCTTTATGGGATTCTCTCACATGTTTCAGAAGCTCTGTCCATGTTTTGGCCACAAAGGAACATCCTTTTTGACATTTATAGCCTAGTAAAAAATAAGATTGGTGTGTTGCCTTTTGTAAATAGTCAGTGTAAATACCAATCATAATTGGAAAGGAAACCTACAATGCCTATAATTTTTCTCCTACCACCCAATAGTGTTTTATTCTGTTAGTCTCAAGAGGTAAGAGTAAAAACTGAGGTGGTATTTTACAGTGAAACCAAACAGTTGCATATCATGGTACCTCATGTAGGATTTGATGTTAGCAGACTTCACAAGAAGGCTGCCTTTCCCTTTCCTGCTGTTCTCGTAAGCTGACTGTACTGCTCATGGATGCCCAGCTTCTTTAGTTCCCCTACCTCCATGGCTCATGGCCCCTTCACCCTTCCTGCTGTATGTTTGCCTCTTTTCCTCAGAAAAAAGTTCAGGTGTTCCTTTGTCCTTGGCAAACCACCAACACTAAATCTCAGCAGCTGTATGCCCACCCCCTGGCTTCCTCTAGTCTTACCATTTTGTAAGTTTCATATGACAAAAAAGAAGCAGGGTACAGCTAAGGAAGAAAATAAACTAGAATAACCCAGAGCAAAAGACTGAACAAAAACTGATATTGTATAAAGCACTAGAATTGGAATCAATCAGTGTAACAGACAGCCTGAGTTTCACCCAACTAGATACCAGAGAGAAACAAAACAATGAGGCTGCCTGTCACTCTTAGCTACTAGTCTCTTATTTAAAAAAAAAAAAAAAAAAATCCATAAAGTCTAGGGCTTGGGAGGTTGTAATCAAGATATCAAAAATCCTACATGGAAACATAATAGTCAAGTAGTTAGTTTAATCAAGTATTTTTGAAAAAAGTTACCAATCTGATCGCTCCAAAAACTCCAAACTATTCTCTAAGCTCTTTGAGCGCTCCCAGAAGAGTAACACTGGGAGTAAGTAGAAGGGGTTAAACACTATGAAGCAATGCCTTGGCTAGAGCACCTGCACTATCACAGGACACAGCACAACCAGGCACTTGCTCTGAACAATACAACATGGACTTTGAACGACGATAGCGGAGTGGAAGAACAGACACAGCATGCAGCAGCACCTCTTTGCTCGAGTATAAAACCTGTACAAGTAGAATGGTGCCCCACCTAGTTCTGAGTTGCTCAGTATGACCATGGAATAGAGTAGAAAGCACCAAGTATTCAAAGACTGACACACATATACTCTATGGTTGGTGTGTTAGTCAAAGTGAGCACCAGGAACCACTGTACGCACCCTCATGGACCTTCCCATGTCGTTTCAGCCTGCTGGGTGAGGCAAAGTGTTTCCCGCAGCCTTCATGGACGCACCTGGGTTAACAAGACATGAAGCATCAGCCAGCCCGTTTTCACAGAGAATTCCACTTAGGGTAAATAGTTCTTCGTCCTATTTCTCCAACCAAAGTCTCCTCTTCCCACAACCAAACCAGTCATATAAAAATGAGACCCTATCATAGTTAAAACTCAAGTCACCTGACCAAATTTGGGGCAAAACAGAGGAAAATGTCACATTTTTTTGCTTATGTGATCAAATTAAACACTTTTATCTTTATACTTCTGAAAATCTACTCTGTGTTATCATGGCTAAGAAAAAGATGGTTTAGGCCAACACTTAAACCATTCCAAATAGTTTCTATCTGGCTTTTCCCCACGATGCTGCCATGGGGATGGTGTGAAAAGAAAACACAGCAGCAGCTTCACAGCCTCTGGTGAGCAATGAAAAAGTACATGCCACTTTGGCATCACTGCCACCAGCAGCACAGGAACAGGCAGATCTGCAGGCTCTGTCATGGCAGCAGCTCCAGGACTAAGGGCAGCCACGTGAATGGAGGAAGGCTTCGCCAGCACAGCAGTCACTCTTCAAGAGTGACTACCCGTGCAGGCGGTCAGGATTCCTTGATGCCCTTGGCACATCTATTCTAATGTCTCCTGTCACCCTTTCCTGTTCCTCATGAAACCTCTCTCTAATGCAGGCTAAGCCACAGTGCTTTTGCTTTACAGGAAAAGAGTAATTAGTGTCTTCATAAAATGATGTGTCATATAATTGAACAGGCTCTATTTGAATAAAGTCATTTATCAGTCTTCCCTTCAAGCTTAACCACAACTGTACTAGTCTCACAAATTATTCTGAAGCATATTAACTATTTCTTTTAGAGAAACTAAGAGAACTTTTGGAATGGCCCAATATGTAAATGGGCATACACACAAAAAAATGTTGATTAATAAACTGTTTCAGAACATTTATTCCCAACCTTTGCATCTCAGTTTATTCCCACCTGAAGTCTGTGATGCGGATTTCACCCCCGTAGAGTACCTA